GTAAACGCGCCCCACGGGGAAAAGTTTCGAAACGGCACCACGAGAAAGAGGGATGAGGAGGGGCAAATGAAGAAGAAGGAGGAGGAGAAGGAGGAGGAGGAGGAGGAGGAGGAGGAAGTGGTGGTGATGGTGGAGGTGGTAGAGGAGCAGGAGGATCCGGGGCACGATTGCGCCGCAGCCGCGACACGAAATTTCCGCCAAACTTATGCGCGCGAAGATCGATAACCGGCGCTGTGCTGTAACGGTTCGGTTTTGGTAATTAGCGGCGTGCAGTCGGCGCACATTTTCCAGATGCATTCGAAGCCGGATTTACACACGAGCTAAAACGAGTCGCGGCTTAGGATCGCACGTTGCACAGTATATGCCTCGCGTCAGGAAAACGTATGTGTGGATTGACAGTGTTGATGAAGAGTGACGCAAACACGAGAGTCTGTGACTCCTCTCGGGAGAATTGTTTTTTATCCTCCTTCCTTTCTCAATCATCTTTCGTTTAATAGTTAAAAAGAGAACACAAAGATATATATATATATATATATATATATATACATATATATATACATATATAATATGAAATACTATGTACACGTGAAGATTACAATTCCAAAATCCTTTTTCTCGAAATGTATTATGATGACAAAATGATCAAATTGAGGGATAAGTGGGACCAAAATGCTCGAAAATCCAGTTATGACACATTTAATTGGGTTGCCACGAAAATAATCCATCTTCTCATTTGAATGACATATATTTTAAATTTATTATCATAATCTACTTTATCATCGTGCTAGAGAAAGAAAAGACAGAAAAGATTCGTTGACGATATAGCTTAAGTACAGGACGTATTCAATTCCAGCATCGAATAGACTGCGAATTCGTTGAAAAATTTGCCATTAAAATTACAAAATAGGAGTTCCTAGCGATTACTTATATATTTTCATCCAGACTCTCCTCTCGATATATAAAATCTTTCCAAAAAATAAGTTTGGTAAATCTGATTCGAATACTTTCCTTCCGAAACATATTAATTAATTAAGGCTTTAATCGCCAGTAACACCGCTTGTACACGGGAATTCATGCGCGAAATTTCCATGGAACTAGAAGATCGATAACCGGCTATATAACATTCAGTTTCGCTAATTACCGGCGTGCCATTGATGCGCATTTTTCACATACCTGTTCTTCGTTTGGTAATATTCACGACTGAAACACTGACTAACTGTTTGACTAACTAATTAAAATAATTGTAATTATCCGGTAGAAAATTAAAAGTGACAATTTTATCGCACGTTCTCGTATTTTCTGGAAAGAGAATAATTGCAACTAGAAATTAGTAACATTCTACATCGGAAATTCTCAACATTTCCTGAAAATATATGAAAAATATATGAGAATTTAAGGATGATATAAATATAAATATTTTTAGCTCCGTCGTGTCAAAGAGTTGACACAGCGCTAAACACTCCGATCCCCGTGTCACGTTTACAACGAATTTCGTTATTTTTAGAAATGCGTGTTGTTCGTCAGAAATTTTATTATTATTTCTGATGCCGGAGCTCTTCGGCCGGTGATTGGAAATCCCGTGTCAATCAAATTTTCCGGCGTATGCCGATGCTTTTAGCACGATATTGATGCGCTCCTTTATCTGCACTTATTAAATATGGCGCTCATTGATCCACTTATCATCGCAGCTCGCGTTGCCTCTATCAATCCCATTTCCATAACGATCCTCGCAAACGAGAGAAGTCTACTTTTTATTTACCATCCTCTCGCAATGTATGTTCCTACTGCACGCTTTTACACTGCCTTTCATACTGCTTTTCGTTCACGTTCTCATAGTTTTCACGATAGGCATGATACTCCGAGAAAAAGAGACACGAAAAAGCGAAAACAGACCGGGACTGGGATGAAAAATTATTTTAAGCACACGAAAATATATGAGATGCAAGGATGATTATCTCCAGAATGGTGCCGCTTTTGTCTCTTTTCCTCGTTCCTCGTTATATATACGGATTTTATGTTGACCGTAGTTAGGGCAAGTAACAAGGTTAAAGTTAGACCTGCCCGTTTAAAATGCCTGGATATTATTTTTATCCTTCTACGCGAGGTCGTACCTTTTTATCAAGATCCAGCAGGTACGTCATGGAGTACCACCTGTATCGAACCGTGCAAAAGAATAAATATATTGATTTTAGCCGTCCTATTTACCGGCACACACGCGCACTTCACATTGCGTTATGCCAGATTACCGCCGGAGGATTCGTCGTACAGAGTATTCCGATATGCAAAAGTTCACGAACGACTAATCGGATTTTCTCACATGCTCAAAACGCGAATCAATTATTTCGCTTTACGGTGTTAATAATTACAATAAATATTACAGCATTATCTTTTTAACACATGAAGTCTTCAGTGTGTTAAAGCGCGCACAAATTACTTTTTACTATCATATTTTTCAGCGGCAATCAACCATTGTTTTGATATTCCTCTCGAGATGAAATATATTCTAAACGACAGAAATAACAGCCATTCAAGTATCAGAAATATAAAATGGATGTTGATTTCGCCGCGATTTTATTTTGATTAAAATTTGATTAGAAGCTCACACTTACTAGTGCAGCTACCGCTATAAACTGCAACGTTGTCTCGATAAGTGCCGTCAAACCCCCCCCCCCCCAAGAAACGTATTCCAAATTGATCGAAAAACTCTCGACCGAATACACAGTATCTGGAATATCTTACATAGTAGAGTGCGCTATACCGCAACCATAGCAACGAAATACTTCAAATGAGATTTCGAACGTACGTTAGTCAGCGCATAAATTCAATTTAAATCTTATTCTTGCTCGTAAATTCGCGCGGCGTGGTAAATGTCGGAGGAAACGCGGCTCTGGATTTTCCCGTGCGACGAAACACGACCTATACATACGTGTATACCTCCGGCATGATCGATAAGTCGTTTTGTGAGCAGCATGAATGGCAATGCCTTTGCTGATGCACCATTCACGAGGAACAGCGCAGAAAAATCTCATTCCGCTCCGAAGGACGCGAACTGATTTTGCGAACGAAAAAATTCCGCACGTGTCGTTTTTCATTTTCGGACGTGTGTGTCGTCCGCGCGCTACGTGCAAAGGCACTATATCCATCAGTCGTAACATGATCGATGGGACTTTCGGCGAAAGATAAAGGACGTCGAAATATAGGACGGACGAACTCTTGTTCGTGGCTTATGAGATTTTGATCTGATATTCTCCCCGTCTCGCTTCCCCCCGCTCCCCTCTATGTGTATGTGCGCGCGCGCGCGTATTCCATATACCACTGCTTGGCGTTTAACAGTAATAATGTCTGCGAGAGACCATCGGTAATATAATTCACATATATATTCGCATAATTTCGCAACCTATCAAATTCGTACGTCAGGTTGCACGATAGAACCCGCAAATTCAATTTTAATTACGGACCATTGGACAAAATTGGAATCGATTTGGCCATGTCTGATTACTTGCTGCAACTGTTCAACGCGCTGTGTTAAACACTTGAAACAATTGGAGAACATATTACAGCAAAATACCGCGACGCTATAATTGATTTGAATATCTTTGTCCATTCCGCGAGAATCCCTTATTCTCGATGATCAAATTCGAAAATAATCGACAACTAGCAACGAAAATAATTTGCGAGGAAAATCGTAACCCAAATTCGCCAAGGAATCTTTCACTAAAAATAAGATCGGGAATTCTGGGACACTCTGTACGTGCGTTTAATTCTGTACGGAGGAATTGAATGTGAAAACGATTCAGTGTGGAAATGGCGAGAAAACTCTGTTCTCAAGGACGTGAAAAATTCTATTGTGACACGCAGTCGTTAGATTTTTCTCACGCACACTAATCAAAGTATACGCACGCTACAGCTTTTCGTCCTTGCGTCGCAAAGTGCACCACGATGTCATCGTTCTATTCAGCTCGCGATGAAGAGCGAGAGAGAGAAAGAGAGAGAGAGAGAGAGAGAGAGAGAGCTTGCTCGTAGAATCCGATTCTCTTTAATTCGCATTGGAACCTAATCCAACCGTTTGATCGACTTTTGCATCCATCGGATGCCGATATCTACCACAACGTTTCCGTTCATCCTCGACATTCAAGCCAACGAGCCGTACGTAAAAAATCGATAGCCGCCTCGATTTACAATGACACACCGCTGCTACGTGCGTCCGTCCTCGCTCGCCGACGCGGAATCCAACTTCCTCGTTCAGCTTGCCGCACAAAGTAAGCTCACTGAAGCTCCAAGAAGACTAACAAATACCGTGAACTATTTAGCGAACCATACAGCCGACCGGCAAACACTAGCTGATGCAGTCAATAAATTCAAAATCGCCAGCTAGATATCGATTAAATATATTATCAATTAAGTTCGCATCGTTAGTAAATTATCTAATAGGAAGCACTAGCGTGGATTAATAGACCGTCGACCGCGCGTGACGAGAAGAGAGGATGAAGGTGGCGAGACTATCGTCGATTAGACCGGATAATATAATCCGGTCATCCACCAAAAATTAATATACCAACGCGGTTGATCGGCGTGAATCGGCCGGTATATCGTCAGTTAGGATCTACCGTCATCACACGACACGACATGTCTCCACACGAGTACCGGCGCGATCTCTCGACGCGATCACGCCTCTAGAAGGAACATAATGTAGTAGGATTCGCAGAGCAGACTGGCGACGCACGAACTCTTGAAGACGAGAGCGGAGCTTCCGCGCGCGCGAGCGGCTTTTCCTCGCGACGTGGTTATTGATCTAGCGCGTCGAACGTGGCTTCGAAGGCTCGCCGTTGGCCCTAGGCACACTCAAAGGTGCACATTTCGTGGCTTGGGTGTGTCACACGCTGTTCCACTGCCGATGGGCTTTCAGGTCCGGCCCGGGAGCGACTCTCCCGGGGGACCGCAGGCTCGTCTCTAAGCGGAGCTTTTAGCCGTAAAAGCGAATGTGTGGGGATCTGACTAACCTCCTATCAACCGATGTGTGGTCGCGATTCTCTGGTCTGGCGAAGGTCCATCCCGCTATGTGCAGCCGGTGTGAGATTCGCGCAGGTCGTACACGAAGAGCACCACGAACGACAAACGCCGCGGCGGCGTTATGGTCCGTGTGTCCACCCGTCTGATCAGTAACGCGCCGTACCCACTCGGAGAGTAGAATCGAGCAGCGTGATGGCGGTGGTGAACGTCGCCCGAGATGAACTGACGCGACGAACCGGAGGAGAGGAGAGTGCAAGAAGAGAAGGAGAGAGAGAGAGAAATAGAGAGAGAGAGAGGGAGAGAGAGAGAGAGAGAGAGAGAGAGAGAGAGAGAGAGAGGAGAGAGAGAGAGAGAGAGAGAGAGAGAGAGAGAGAGAGAGAGAGAGAAGACAAGGAGAAAAGAGTGAAAGAGAAAAGAGAGAGAAGAGAGCTAGAGAGAAAGAGAAAGGCCGGAGACACTCGAAGGAGCGAGAAGAGGAATCACCTGCAAGGGTGGAAGCGGCAGACGGACAGACCCTTCGTGATCCGCAAGCTGGCGTGTTCGAACTGCGACCGCTCTGTTCTGACTGGTGTTCTGGTGGAAGGGAGAAGGGGCGGCAAAAGTGGAGGTGGTATGAAGAGGGATGGAAAAGCTGAGGGAAAGAGAAAGGGGGTAGTAAAAGGGGAATGAAGAGGTAAGGGAACGTCGGAGGGAGCGAGAATAAGAGGAAAAGGTTGAAACGACGCGAGGGAGAGCGAGAGTGGATGAACAGAGAAAAGATGAAGGGATGTTGCAACGAGCGAGAAGGAGGGAGGGCAGGAGGGCAAGAGGGGTTTAGTGAAACATCAAAGCGAGAGGGAGCCACGGTAATAACTAGCTGGCGCATCGAGAAGAGAGAAGGCGTGCATGGGGAGAGAGATCTACGGTGGTCAAACGGTGGTTGCGGAGGAGAAACGGTGCTCATGTTATTAATTTCGCAGGGAGCCAGGGCTAAAAAGCACTATCATAGCTGCGACTGGATCAACGACGGCAATGACGAGCGTTGTGTGACGTTCATCGCGCCTAGAAGAGAGAGGTATTGACAGCGGAAAGAGATGAAAATGAAAGAGCGACAAAAATACAACCATGTCTAAGAGGAAGAAGAGAAAGAAAGAAAAACAAAGAAAAATCAGGGAAACCTGATGAATATTGAAATGAGCAAGGAGAGCGCAGAAGGTAGAAGGATGTCTATGGTACGGGGAATCACCAGCCTCACGTTGTACGGTGGAGAGGGTTGGAGAATCGACAAGCTTTTAAACAAAAGTTTCAAAGTCGATTGTCATCAGAAGTCAAAAGAAGTCACTCCAAGTCAATTCCACGCGACAAAAGGCATATATTACGAGAAGAGAACTAAAAGAATTAAGATATTCCGCAGATTAGCATATCGATATACGCAAAGGAAAGGAGCCCCAGCAGCTAGAGGCAAAAGAGAATACGACAAACGGCATAGCTAGAATCGAAATAAAGATCTCAGACGCCGGATGCATAAAACAAATAGAGGACGAAAGAGAGAGGGAGAAAGGATCACGTTCTGAAACTCCCTGGAGCAGGAGTGGAGTCAACGACAGATAAAGAATACGTAAGGCAATATCGAGACGCGATTCGTGCATGGAAAAGAGACGGAGCGAAGAGTAGAAAACGGAGAGGAGATGCAGAAGACGGCGACATGCTGGCAGAGAGGGTGAACCCGCCGACAGCGAGAGGGACGAAGGCAAAGCAAGAAGAGGATGAGAGATGGCTCGCTTGTCGCCGGGGTGCGGGGCACGACGAGACGCAGGGTGAGGGTAGGATCGTTAGGGTGGGAGCTAGAGGGAGCGAGGAGGGTGCAGGAGACGGACGGAGGGGTGAGGCAGACGAGGAAGACAAGAACGGGGCTGCGGGGTGCGCGCTCCAAGTGGCACTGGGCCATCGATCGGCTGCGCGCGACCGTCCGCGTCGTAGCAGCTGAGCATTTCGCGCTGCACGCAGATTCTCGCAGCGCGACTTCTCGTCGCTCTCCTCGCGTTCGCCTAGGCGAGAGGAAAAAGAAGAGCGTGGAGGTGGGGAGTAGGCGGCGAGGGAGGAAAAGCGCGTTGCGTTGTGACCAGGAGGGGATGAAACCGCGACAGGGTCAGTAAAGGGAATCGAGGATTAACCGCTCAGAGGGATGCTCGCCTGTACGATTTTCGCTCGCTCGCTCGCTCGCTCGCTCGTTCGTTTTCAGCCGAAAGCTCGACACACCGGAAAATGGTAGCTTACGTCGTGGACACGCGGAGCGTGTTCAGACGAATTTTTGGAAGCCGCACTTTGAGATCCGCTTTGAGATCCGGTGCTCTAGCCGATGGTGGGTTTTTGGGTCAAGTGGGCCTAATCATGAGTCGGGAAGTCACGTTAGCGAATGTACTTTGCCGTATGTACCGACTCGTACGGTTGCTTGGTAACGCAGAAGTCGTTCGAGGGAGCTTTAACTTTCAGCGCGCGCACGCGAAGACGGAGAAATGATAATTATTTATTTGAAGTAAGTAACGTCGAAATCACAAGTGTGTTAAAACATCGCCAGATACCGAAACGGACAATTTCTGCTGCCGAGATTGTCGAACATCTATGATAATTACGACCGAAAAATCTTCTTTTCAGAATCCTCGAGCAATTCTCGCCCGAAAACAAGAAAAGACGAGAGACGTCAAATGTCCTTCAACGGTAAATTGCATTCGAAGATCTATTTGCTAAAAAAGGAATTCTCGTGAAGTAGTAAACAAGATTATATGATATTGCCTGACATTTTCCAGAGAGTATATCTTTGAAAGTGGACGAAAAACAAGACGAGTCGAAAAACTGCGCTGGAAATATTGCGCATAAGGATATTCTGGCTTTGAAGTAATATATATATATATATATATGTATATATACATATATATATATACATATATATATATATATATACATATACATATATATATATATATACATACATATATATGTATATAGAAGAGGAGCATTAACCTATCACGTATCTTTTGATAGAATAAATTTTCTACTACGCTCCACAGTTATATATATATATATATATGCGATTATTAGTTGCAAGATATTTTCTTTTCAATTTTTTCGAACTGATAGGATCCATATGACACGATGCAACCTACTATTACTTCATTTAACCCAGGCAAATCGCATCTATTCTTACCACTTCGCGTGACACGATCAAAGAAATATACGCCGCATCGATCGCTTTTTCCATATCCATGTACGAGTGCATTGACGTTACCAGAAACCTGGGATGTATTGATCTTGTGTGAAAAAGCCGAAGGCCAGCTATTGCCACAAGACTGATAAACACTTTCGAGTTTTTTTCTGCTGCCTTATGCAGATTCTTCATTAATTAATGAATTCACCTGACTAATTTCAAGGTGGCTTCGAACGGATGTAATAAAAAGAGCGTAGTTTCGATATCTTTTAATCATCCGAGAAATATGAGTCGTTAAAAACACGAATACAACTCGAATTGACGATAATTAACTTTAACAATTTAATTTATTAATTAAGTGGTTAGTAGTGAGTTCGTATTAATCTGACAGGTGTATAATTATTTTCTACATTCTGCTGCTTTATTTGATTTGGAAAACATAATAAATTGAAGTTCTCCTGGATTGATGCAGGATTTGCAACGGTTCTCCTTTTTTATCCCGATATCGACGAAAATGAGCATCAGCATCGGCGCCTCGCATCGGTGGCTCACAACGAAATCGCGGAAACGAACGTGAAATGAACGAGGAAACGTTTCGCGATGTGTCCGATGCTAAAATTAACGACGCCAACTTTGGCGTCCCAACAACAAGTAGTAACTAATTGTCCTTTGTAATCATTTTCCACGAGCGCCACCGAGCATTAAAAGAAATATCCGGCGATTCTCTGGCAGTCGCGAAACTTTGCGAGCCAAGTCGAAAGCGCCACGAAAAAGCAAATAATGAGGCAGCCGGACGATAATCGGATCAGTCGAAGAATTTATTGCTCGTTTCGCGAATCATATCATCGACATCCTGAGACAGGTTTCAGTCAGCCAATCGGTTGATCGGTTGCTGATCTCCGATCTCGATGCTGAGCTTGAGAAAAACCGGTCTGCTCGCGTGACGATAATGGGGCCGCGACTCGGTCGCACTCGCGTGGCAAATTTGTTTTTATTAATAGGCGGCGATCGATATGGTGTGCAATTTTAATGCAATTACGCTACGCCGAATTGAACGGTCGAGACGTACAAGTAACGGTCAGTAGTTACATCCGGGTACCGATCAGACGCGGTCCCGAGCCAATTTATCGTCGTAACAATGCCATGTACGCCCATATTCGTTGTAAAATTCATTGCCACTTGGCTCGCGGCATTTATTTATCGCGACACTTCGCAATCTACGATCGATGAGGAGTCTGAGATAAATTCCGAGCGCAGATAGGCGAATACACACATACACGAGGCGCGAAGTGTATTCTCTTCGATTGGCAATGGCGATATTGCTCCGCGGCGGCCGATGGTGCTCGCGTGATCAAGTAAGCAGAAATACGCGCGGAAATATCGCGCGAGCTTACAAGGAAACGCCATTAAGTTCGAAAACATGGGAAAAGGGGTATTATATCGGTGTTATCGAGCTGCAAATTGGCGCATTGGATGCGAAGGAAGCATCGCCTGTTCATGACGAGCGAGCTTCTTCACGATACTTGGTGCTTGGAGAGATATTACTTTTGAGTCTTATAATACTGCAGCTTTAGCTTTCGCGTTATTGGAGTTATTGCAAAAGTTGGATTGTATATAAATTCAATGGCTCAAAAAATAAGTTGTTTTACAAATTCGCAATTATCTGGAAGATAACAGGAAATGACGGATAAGTTTAATTAATCGGACACGCGTACTTTTTCGTTACTATTAATAAAAATGTGTGGTTTGAAATCAACGAAAACTCTTGATATTTCCCGGACACGTGTCTCAAAAAGTATCCGAATAATTAGAAATGAATGGTCGCACCTTTGATGCTGCCGCCAATGTCGTCCGCCGGACGGCCAAATGCACCGACGTGATAACGATGCGTCGTTATACCGTCGCGGTGAATTATGATTCCACATTCATCACGCGGATAACATCGCGTCGTGCAGACCGCCGCAAACGGCAAACGGCAAAATAAAAAACGGGCGCGTCCCTCTTTGTTTTCTGACAGCAACAACGCCTGCAACTTTGCGCTTTTGTGCCGTACATTCCGCGCTAAATGCGCCTACCTCCTTTCATCACGAATATTTTCGACAAAAAGAAGATTATAAATTCCGACTGTCGGCACGGAACAGACGGAGTTGACAGGCAGAGAAGACTAAGTTTCATCCGCTTTCTCCCTCTCTCTCTCTCTTTCTCGCTGCTGGAACATTGTTCCCTTCAAGACGCAAGACATTTTTGATTCAATGCACTTGTCTCCTTGCGTCACGAATTCATTCAACAGATTCATCGTGTGCGCGTGCAAATTCAACTGTTGACATCGGGGATCAGAGTCGAATCGAACGGTATCGATTCCCGTCGTCGTCGAGACGCTGCTCGTCGCAAATGCAAGCACGGTGCATTCGTTGCCATCGGACGCGGAAGCACGTGCGGTCACCTCGACCGTTAGTCTCGCCCTTGCTGTTTTGGTCGACTCCGACCACCGCGGAACCTTGTCTGGATTCGAAAACATTCGTGACCTACCCCGAGGACGAGGTTGCAGTGTTTGCGATGTCAAAAAGTCAGCAGCACTCACCAGGAATTCTGGCGCCATGCCAACCGCGGAAAAATAGGTTATCGATTAACCCCTTGGTCTTGGTAATAACTACGACCCCCCCGAATCCGGAAGGAGGGTAGGCAAGCCGGCAGGCAGGCACGAGGAAACAGAAGGAAAAGGAGGAGGGTGCAGAGAGCAAGGGGTTAGAGATCCGCGTCTAAGAAGTGGAAATCTCGTGCACGTAGCTCCGAGACGCCTTCCTCGCGCCCGACTCCGCAACGAGCATCGTTAAATATATATATATATATATATATATATATGCGATCACGTACGAGCAGGCAAAATCCGTGTCAAGTTTTATTAACGTCCTCAGTTCCAGGAGGGACTCGAGTGTATTTACCGATTATAGTAGCGCCGATTAGCGCTTCGGCTAACTTTGATCACGCGAGACTAACGAGGTGACGAACAAAGGAACGAGGCGTGTGAAAGAGATGCCGCGCCACTTTCTACCGGATGTATAAAAAAAAATATATATATATATTATTATTATTAATTATTTGTGATATTTTTGTGTATTCTTAATTTTTATCTACAGAAGCTCACAATACTGCCAGTACGTTTCTCATTACTGCGTGTGATTTCGCGAATTATTGCGATGCTCAAAAATGAGAGATTAAAAATAAAGGAAGATTGAAGATATTAATTTCGCACGAGAAATATCGCGAAATACTATCATTAAGTTTGCATTTCCACTTGAAATAGTCCTTCAGTAATATCCTGCGTACTTTGGAGTTGTAGCAAAGTTACATTTTAGATGAGAACTTGGAGGAGGGCCCTCTCGCCATTCTTGAAATTAAACGGATTTAGTACATAGCTATTTTGTTCACGATGGAGATACGCGAGTTAATTTGCGCAGCGATTAAAGTAAATGGAGAGTATCTGCACGTTGTTACTGTGTACACCTTTATAATCTGTGTATACCAGCGTTTTATTAATAATTCAGGGTCGTAGGGAACGCATCGCCCAGGAAAATCACCGAGCTCGCGTCTTGCGAGAGAGTATAAGTGCGCGCGTGTACGAAAGAGGAGACTGAGAGAGAGAGAGAGAGAGAGAGAAGGGCATGTTTACTCTTATATTATATTATACACAGCGATTGCTCTCGCGCGAGAAGGTCTATCGCAATTTCCGGTAAAGATAGCTTTACGCAATGTTCATTATCAACTTATTAATCATTCTCAATAAAAAGTTGTCGCGAGCGCGCGAGCTCCGTTCAATTTCGGCAAAACAAAAAGTTAAACGATATAGTAAATATTAATTAAATAGCATATTACGTACGAGGATAAAGAGAGAAAGTGGGCAAACTATGCAAAACTCGATACACCGGGCATTTCCTGCGTCCGAAATTTCCTCAGTCCTGCACGATATCGCTAGGTTGCCTGTATAGGAAATAAATTCTCTATGTGACTCAGAGAGATAGTTTCAGCATCGTTTTATTCAAGATCAATTAATTTTTGTGTACTGTTGCTTGTGCGACTACTACATGAAATTTTCGTCGAATTTTTCTTCAGATAATTTATTAATCCGAGTAATTTTTCTTCGCAATTATCGTTAACTTTGATTCACGTTTACCGATTCAGCCTGATTTCTGAGGAAAAACTCACGTAGTGCTCCGATGTTTGTCCAAAAATATATACCTCGTCCCACCTTTACTTCCATCTGCTTCAACATATTACAAGATATTGCTGAATTATCGATTAACATCCCTTTATATAGATCTCACTTCCCACGTTAATCAGCTTAGCGCGTAATATTATCAGCTTAATGCTTAATATTGTTAACGTAGTCTCTTTCGAGAATTATTACACAAGAATCGATGAGTGTTTCGTCTGCAATAGCGATCGATTTTCTCCCAAAAATAATCAATTACTTAGCAATGCGCAAACAATCGCGTTATCGAGAGTCATTCATTTCGACAAATCTGAAAATTTCGATCAGCTTCTAATTTCGAACTGTATCAACTATCAACTACTAAGCTGACACTTCTAAAACTGTGATGAGCACGAATAATACATTTGAAGCACGTAACGGCGATACTTTTGTTGTTCGGTCCGAAGCTGTTAAAACATTCACGGCGTTTTGTAAGGTTTCCACCGCACGTCACCGGATATATGTCTGATAAACGGCAGCCGGAACGAGGATACGCATACAAAGTGACCTCATCATCATCGACAAGCAATCTAATGCGATATTCCCTGACAAATTCGCGGATTATCCATTTATACAAGAAAAATTCGATGGAGAAGCACTCTTGCAGATTTTTTAAATTTCTCCAACATATCCGATCTCATCTCGGATCTCATAAAAAAAACATACTTTTGCCGATATTATCTCGTACTTATTCAGTTTCAATTTTAATGTTTGACTCGTTTCTAAGGATTATCATATACTCAATCGACAATTATTTAAGCAACAATGATAGTTGATTTACCTCTTCATCAACATATACTTACTAATTAAAAAGAAGAAAAGGTTTCCTTACACTTTACACTGCATACCTCCGATCCGAAGCGGATCAGTTTTCCATTGAACACTTTGAAATCTCGCGGCGATTCCAGCGAAGAGACATACGGCGCCATCTCGCGGTCATATGGTGAATCACAAAGAGCGCGCGCGCGCGCGGCAACGGAAGGGAAGCGTCGTGGTCCCGTCGATGGGCGCTCGCGGATATGTTGGCCGACGTTGACGACCGTTGTGTCGATACGATGGTCAGGTTGGGGCCGCGACGGCTGCGGATAGCTTCTCACGTCACCTGGTGCACTTCGGGATCGCCGGCGGAGCAACGTAAGACAGTAGTAGCGTGTACGAGCGGACGAGCGTGGCGGCCGCGACCACGTACAATATAATGACGCGTAAGAAGACAGCGAGGGCGAGCGCTCGGTCGTCGTCGGAAGCGGGCCAGTGACATTCGGTCGCGCGCGCGGGGCCAGGGTCGGTCGTCCGCGTCAACCCCGGGGCGAGGGAAAGGCAGGCGAACGCGACAGACGGACGGACGTACGGGCGCGGGCGGGTGTGAGCGAACGAGTAGTAGTTGGCGAGTGGCTACACGCAGTATGGGAATAACCTGTCGGACAGCAGGCAGTGCTCCGAGCCGCCACGGAGTCTACGACGGAACGACGCCGACGTTCCCGTCAGGTCGGCGCACGGTGCACGATGATATGATATAGTCCGCGGACCCTCCAGGGACTGACTGCGTCAAGACCAGAGCAAGAGCGTGAGAGACGCACCCAACGTCATGTTTTATCACCTGCATCTCAGGAGTCGTCTTCTGCAGACACTGATCCTCGCGCTGATCGGCCTTACCTTCTACGCGTATTACCGTACCACCGTGTACGATGTCCGCCAGTTTAGCCTGCCACGAAACACCAGTGAGTATATGTAATACTGAAGAGTGATTTACTTGTGTCACAGAGTCACTGTGTAGAAGAGATTCTGCAGTAGCAGTTAATATTATTTATTCGTGAGTCTCAAGCAAATATAAGATTCCTGCGGATCTCTTTACATTTTTATTTGCGTTCAAATATGGAGAAACAGTGTAATTTTTGTTTGCAAATATTTGATGAAGCACTGTGTATGATGGACAACTATATGGTGCTTTCCCAGAGCATATTCTGTCAATATTTTTCACCACTTTCAGATGTAACTTTGCAAAAATCAATTGTTACAAAAAAATCAATAAATTCCAGATCATACCGTGTACCAAGAAGGCCTGCATCTACATATGAATCTCAGTGTGGACACACGGCTGACAGGAGCACCCAGAAACTCCAGCTCAGATAATGTGGCTCCAAGTCAGTATACAGCGCACAGCGTGAATAATCTCTCGACCCTTCTCACGACGCTATCGACGTCCTCCTCGTCATCTTCTGCGAGCACGTCGGTCAGCTCGAAGCAATCGAACGAGAAGCAATCGGCCGTGCAAACGGTAAGGATCAGCGTCAGCAACGCGACCAGGTCGTCGTCGGTCGTGGTGCGCAGTGATTCCGCGCGCGCCATATACGAGACCGGGCACACGGTGCCGATCCCGGAACGGTGTCCGAATCTGGGCAAGGACATGGATCTAGTCGTGATCGTAATGTCCGCGCCGACGCATCTCGACGCGAGGACGGCGATCCGACAGACCTGGGGACACTACGGGCAACGTAGCGACATGAGCGTGCTCTTCATGCTCGGCACTACCAACGACCGTAAAGTCGAGACGATCCTGCGCAAGGAGCAGAACATGTACAACGACATAATACGCGGACGCTTCCTCGATTCATACTCGAATCTCACTCTAAAGACTATCTCGACGTTGGAATGGGTGGGCAGTTACTGCCCGAAAGTGAAATACCTACTGAAGACTGACGACGACATGTTCATCAACGTACCGCGACTACTCGCGTTCGTGAGCAAGCACGCAAGGGATCGTAACGTGATATTCGGCCGGCTGGCCAGGAAGTGGAAACCCATCAGGAACCGCAAGAGCAAGTACTACGTGTCGCAGGCGCAGTTCCAACAATCGATCTTCCCGGACTTCACCACCGGCCCAGCGTACTTGCTGTCGAGTGACACCGTGCGCCGGCTGTACGACGCCGCCTTGGACCATACGTACCTGAAGCTCGAGGATGTGTTCATGACCGGTATCGTCGCGCACAAACTCGGCATCAAGCGCTCGCACGCCAATGAATTCCTGAACAAACGCATACCATACACCGCCTGCAACATTCAACGTGGCATCAGTATACACATGGTCAAGTACAGCGAGCAGTTCGACCTCTGGAAAAAGCTGCTGGACGGCAAGAGCAAGTGCAAGTGATAATCGAGGCCGGGCGAAGGTCCTACGCTTGACCCTGGCAAACCAAGTGGTACGATCGTTACCGCCTAATGCGACTCGAGTGCCCGGTTAACACGCTGGCTCGCGAGACCAGCCATCATATACATACGCATACATCCACCCACCCATACACAGGCACACACACACACGCGCGCGCGCGCGTGTGTCGAACACACTTCGCTCAAAGCGCGAACTCGGTGACACGCATAAAGAGTGGTAATTGCAAGAGTGCACCGCGAAACGAGAGAGACGTAGACGATTTCGTCGCTTAGATTTTCACACGACCCGCGCGCGTAAGCCGTATGACTTCGCGATTCTGCCTTCTCCCACAGGGGTCGGAACGACGGGAGCGGTAATAGCTTCATACGCCGGAAGGATCGCCGAGATATCGTGGCTGAATCCTTGTGTCTCGCATTCCTCTTACGTTCCCTCAAATTCCAAAGAAGTATTTTTTCGTAATCGTTACGTAAAGTTGCGTTAGAAATTATGAAATTATTTTGTAATATGTAGTGATTTCTCTCTTTTCCAACAGCCTCTCTCTTTCTCCGTCTGTTGCGGCAAATCAAGTCGGATCTCTCACGAAAAGATTTCGCAATTTTCTTCGATCTCTGGCCGCCGTTTCTTCTTTCTCCTCTTTATTTATCATGTCGTGGTACTAAAGTGTTTGCGGATATGCATCGCATGCTTCCGCCGCGTCAGCTCAGCGGCGGATGTGCGTGTCCAATTGTCAGCTTGTATTTATGCGAATCTTATCCTGCGTGTTGGTGCCGCACGAAGCGAGATCAGACAGCTGTGCGTGCAGTGCGTTAAATGCACCAGTATAAGATACGCGCGGTCCGATATTTTTACGCTGTAGTGTAGGAGGAAAACGCGTGCTCTTCCGCGCGGGGAATATCGCTCGCTACATGAGATTCCCAAGGGAGGGCTCCTTCGTGTAATCGGCAGCCTCGTTATAATCGACGTCGATTGCCACGTGCACGTGTAGCCGTCGACATTCAGTCCGTGGTATAATCAGGTCAAAGTAACAATATCTCGCAAGATGTATCGGGTATCGCGCGCACTTTCTCCCGACGAACAACTCTCCGGCGAATTTGGAGCCGATGTTTCCAGGCGGAAAGTTCAGCCTTAAACGCGCTCTGTTATTTGGCATTTAAGTGGCGCTTGACGAATTACGCTTTAATAGCATCCGTGAATTTCATACTCGATCAATATACCGCGCGCAATACTCACATTCTCTCTACCTTTCTCTCTAACAGATATTAAAGTCGTTAAAGTTTAGTCAGCCAGGATTACTGCCGAGTAACACATAAAGGTACCTTGTTTGATTCCCGGGGAGAAATAAAAATCGAATTCGTCGTGCTCGTCGAGGGTACCTAAGAGTCGCGCAAAGCTCCGCTGCGCTCCGACCAAGTGGGGTAATTGAGATTACACATTTTGTGCGAACGTGACAACGCGATAAGTCGCAGTCAACTGCGCGCGAATCTTCTCTCTCCCGAATATATTATCTAGTCATCGTTCTAGATAATACGTCGCGCGCGCGCACGATAACGCGGACGTGAATGCTGTGAAGCTCTATACACGATATCGACTATCCTCTGCGCCTCACACTCTTCCCCGTTATATCTCACACTCTCGTTATCGCACTACTTCTTTGTATCCTGCGGAAATATCGCATATATGTTTCCGTTCTCGGTGCCATATGTCTGAAGCCCGATAACAGATTTTTAGGCCTACGGCGCGATAAAGTGTAAAAGAAACGGAAGCCGAAAGCGGGGCCGAAACGAAGCTATTCCTGGTGAATGGAATTGCCGCTGGCTATTGTTTTCTGTTCTTTTCTCTTCTTTTAAACGAATATTACGATCAATAGCTGTCGCCCCTCGATGAATTTTCGATAATTATCGAAACGTTTGGTCGGCACTCTGACAGCTACTCTACTCAACCTTCTCTCCTGATTTTCATTACCGCCAGAATGGTATATTCGTATTTCGATAGTGTTTTATAAATATACACTTTTTTATTAGATTATAAGTACGTAATATTTCATGAGGGAGTCATTCCTATGCACTTCTACATTGTCTCATTACCCATCGGCCTCGGTTAACTATTTTTATATCTCATCGCGTCCAGGAGCTTATGTACACGTTGTGTTCCTATATTGCGCGACGCGCTTTCCAAAAGTGCATTATTTTTTGAATTATTATCATAGTCGCTTTTATCTCGTACGCTGCTCCTTCATACCTTCACACACTCTTTATTAAATTATTTAAGAAATTTACATCACATTGAGTATCCTATATTTTTAGAGCTTTTTAAAATTATTTAATCGAAGATAAATGTAAAACGTTTAAAAATTATGAGAAACATACATTTATTTATTTATTTATTTATTTTTGTAAGAGTTTATGTCCTTTCGGATGTAGTATGATTTTCGCATCCTGCGTGTAACCACCAAATCGAGCGTTCTATTCGTGTTAAGAATGAAAATGGAGCTAATGAGGTGTCACTTGACACTTCAGTTGCTGCTTTTAAGAATTGCCATCGTAGAAAGCCGACCATTGGTGGATTCGATTGTCAAGCCAACGCTAAACGAGTCGTTAAACTTTTGCAGTTAATCAAAGCCGTGCCTCGTCCAGCGAATTTGATCTTACAATCGAATCGATTCCGATTCTTGTCCAATAGGTTGAAGGAGGAGTGCATCTTTCTGTATTATCCGTTTTTCCTCGAGAGAAACGCCCGTGCGAATCACGCGCGAGTCGCGAGTTAACGAGTCCCGAAGATCAGGCCAAGGCTCCTTGCGAGCTCATTGCGACTGCACGCCACACGCACTCCAATTGTGTCCTTGGCACGTATTCCGACCGGCACGGCGCGTCCAAGTACGAGGTAAAGGGACTGCTTTAACCGCGGTGATCGTCGATTACGCGAACGATCGAAACGAAGGATCGTTCCATCCTGATTGCGATGCGATGCGATGCGATGCAATCGCGAATGGAGAACGCAAACGGCGAGCGGATCTCTCCGACCGAGCCTGACGAGAGAGAAGTGACACGATCAAAGTGACCTAGTCTGTAGTATTTCGCCGATCACACACGAAAGGTCGAGAGAAATTTTCCGAAATGTAACTCCCTCCTCCGATCGTCTCATCAAAAGAAAATCGCTCAAGAGATCGACTCCGCGAGAGATAGTAGAATAATAAGATAAATGATCAGGGGTCGCCATGAATACAATGAGAAACTAATTTAGCGACCAGTTTATGATTCATGAGCGGTTACGCTGCGCTAAAGAAGAAATGACTTGGCTCACGCAACGTCCGTCTATCTGCCGTGCGCCAAGTCGGACATTGAAAAATCAAAGTTTGCAGGGAATCGTGCGGAGATCGCCGTTCGTAAGCAAATAATTTCTGGGATTGATAGAGATTGATATTTCCTCTGGAAGCTCTGCGCGATAATTAAATCTCGCGGATTTACACAGTAATAGCGCGCAGAGAAATTCTGCACGAGAGAATCGGCCAGTGAACATGTATCGTCACCGAAAAGTCAAAATCTCGAATTTCGAAAAGTGGAACAGTTTCTCCGAAAGTCACGATTCCGATGTCTCGGAATCTTTGAAAATTTGAGAAACAGCTTTCTCAGAGTACATCGGAAACATTCAATTACCTCGAAAAGTTATGATGTCAAAAACTGTATTTTACATTGTCTCGCGCGCGGTATTTCGACGGATTATGACTTTTCGGTTCTCTCATTGCTCTCTTCGGATTATCCGACTTTTCAAACCTCGACACGTTGCTTTCTTTCCCCGGGACAATGCATGTCCATTGATCGGGCGTATCGCGAGCCAAATCACGGTAAACGACGATATTTAGCCAAAAATTCGAGTTAGACTCTTTTAGTTGCAGCCGACACGAGATAGCGAAACGTACTTACATATTCTAGATTTGCAGTATTGTACTAATATGTATCTACGTATGTAATACACGCGCGCGTCTCCCCCGCTCACGATAGATTGCACGTCGCACGATCCACTGCGTCCGGAGATAACAATTGTCATTCGTAACGCGCGATCGCGCGACGGATAATAATTTATTTCCATTCCTCTTTCTCTCTCTCTCCCTTTCTCTCTACCTTTAGCTTAGGTGAGCTGAGTGCCCTAGATGATGTGCATTTTATTTTTGTATGCGTCTACATATATAATAATAATAATGATAATGATAATATGTATATTATGCGAGTGTCTGCAACCACATGGATATGTGATTAATTGACGTGTGGTTAATTGTTACTGTACGTTCACTTAGTATCACGGAGTCGGAAGAGCCGCGAGCGTCAAGAATCGCGAAGCATTCTAATCATCTGGTTCGAATCTTGCCGCGTTTCACCCTTCGTGCTCGAAAGGATTTTTATTTTTTCCCCCTCTTAGGGGCGTAGCGTTTTGCATAAGAGCGAGCGGCGAGCGAGAGTTAGAAATGCAGCGAACCGTCTTACGAGAGAGAGAGAGAGAGAGAGAGAGAGAGAGAGAGAAAATTGCGCGAGATAACGGTGCGACGTTTAATTCCGCTCGCAGCTCATCGTGAATTATCCGTCGTTTAATTTATCCATGTGTAGCGACGTTTATTTATGGAAAAAGAATATATTTGTATTTTTTTGCAAAATTGCGAAAAATCTGGGCGCGAAAAAAAGCAAACGAGTGGACATTCCTCGTCGGCTCACACTATTACGCTTATACGCGCAATGCACGCAACACGCATTGCGAAATGTGACGCAATTCGCGTAGAACATCCGGTTCGCGCTAATAATACATAAGAGTCAATGAAATTAACAGTTCTTATGTTGCAAAACAAAATGTTGCAAAGTGAATGGGTGAATTGTGAATACGTACGTATCAGACATACAGAAGTTAATTGCGATATGAAACTTCCGACTGTATAAAAAAATATCAGATCAAACATCGTAAAATTCGAAGTCCATGACGAAGAAGAAAAATATGGAAAAGAGGCAGTAACATCGCTCATAGACATCGTGTTTTACGAAATTTGACTCCTCTTGTCTGTATACTTCATTCTATATCGTATTGGCTCTTATTAGCCGTCACTTGAAAAATAAACTTATTTTCTAGTGAAAAAGGAATCGAGTGAAACAAACCATCTCGTCTCGAGGTTGCGCAAATTTAATCTTAGAAACTACTCAAAGAATCTAGTCAAACTGAATATAAAAATTCAAGTTAAATGAACGGTCTGACGTAGGAATTTGAACTACAAAATTTAATCAGTGATGAGCAATTCACAAAAACGAAATATATTTTCAGATGTTCATTAAATATTAGACTAAATTTTGAGCTTGTTTCACACAAACAAGGGATTAAAGGAAGACGAATATTTTGCTAAAGGAATTATGTCAGTTGGTTCGTTATGCGCAACTCTGAAATTGAATTCGTTTATCCCGATTCCAGTTGTTTCGACGAATCTTTTTTCATAGTGTGTATCCGTTTCGTAGTTATCTAAATTTAACATTTTGGTGACTCAAATGCCTCGCGAAAAATTGCGCGACGCCATGTAAAGGATCTTTATCGACGCTGATACAAGCGTTATTAATCATCGTATCTCTAATTAAGGGAGATTAATGTTTGTTCCCATGATACGACCATTTTTACCATGTACTATCATCATCACATAGGAGATTACGTATGACATTTTCAGTTGCGAAGCGAATAACAAGGAGGAACACTTGGAAGGCTGTATCCGCATTTTACGCACATTTCTCGCGCCCGCAGGTCGGACGATTCTTCATTTTTCGCGTAACTTCATTCTCACCTTTGGCGAACGTGTATAAACTGTTCGTTGTTCGATATTTAGCGCGAAAGATCGAATCGCCCAGGCCTGGAGGAAGCTCGAAAAACGAGCGCGGTCTGAACGTCACGTGTCATTGTACGGCGAACGTTTCAGATCGCGCGCGCGTTCTGGAGAGCTTCGTGTGTATTTTTTATTTCCAGAGATATTTATATTGTACTACACAGATATGACAAGTGCTCAACCATCGTTTGAAGAATATAGATTCTTTGCTCACACCTGTGCGTTACTTGAATCTCCTATGATAAATCGTCGGTGAGAATCTCCTATGATAAGATCTGATCTCCCCATAAGAAAGATAAAAAAATATAATATACAACTGATTTTCACCACGCTTCTAATATGCTGCATCGGAAAGTATTCTCGCTTGACAAAAAAGGAAGGAAAAACTGTGCCGCGCTGTAGACTTACTTTTACACGAGGAATTATCCCTTCATTGATCGTTTTACAATCAACCGCGTAAAATTGATTCTCGTTACTCTCGTCTAATGTCAAATAATTCGCAATTATCTCTTCGCGATTAATCTCAGATCTCGATAATTAAGATTGAGACCTTCCGATCACCGAGACGCACCGATACATTTTTAGTCCGATCGCATAACTCGAGCGCAATTTATTCATTTGGCGCGCAATCATCGCGTTAGCTCAGTAAGAAAACGCAATATCTCATTGCGTCATCGCCTCGTCGTTATAAATATGTTTGCAATTTAAAGGACCGGGACTTCCCGCGGCGATGACGCCGAGATACAAGTTAACCGATTATCGTTTGGATCTTGACGAGGCGGCAATTCATGATTCTATTATCCTACGCGTCAGTCCGGCACGAACGTGTGCGGCTTGAATTGCACAGTAGCATCGCGATAGAGATAAAATTATGAGTAATTTACTGCATGGTTATATATGCATACGCTCACCTCCCTCATACGAGATTACTCACTTTTGTATCGCGTCGACGGCGAAAGTGATAGTCGTGGCTACCGGTTACACATCGGCACTTCTCCGCGAGACTCCGGTGTGCCTTTCGCCACGTGTGAAAGATATTTACTCTCAAAAGTGGAAAGTCCGTGAGATATCCACACGTTCATCAAAAGAATCACATACACACACAAAAGCGTCCTGGTGATCTATGATACTACAATTATTCGCTTCTCGAAAGCGAATCGTATATGATCTCATTTAGCTTCTTTAACCGTCGCGCGATAACTTTGAAAGTGAAGGAAATCATTGCGCTGCAATCGAATCTGTATTTGATTCGTTTGTTTCTCGCAAAATTGTACAAGCGCGATTGTTAAGAAACAATTATAATAATAAGTTTCGTTTCTCCATAAATAATGATAATTATTTGTCAAATATGACTTTCTCCGTGACGACGTCTCCCTGCTATATAGCAAACACATTCAAAACTGTCAGCCTTTTATTGAGAACAAGCTCTAAGTTACTTTCGCCAAAATCTCTCGCTATGGCGAGTGTAGGATCAAAACTCCGGAGCGGATCGCAGGTCGAGCTTCACGACGACGAACCACCGATTTAGAGTTATGTAACCGGTGATATTAAATCCTCTTCGAGTAATAACAGTCAAACACAGAGAGTGGATCGGTCGGGAAGAGAAAGAAAAGAATATAATCGTAGCGGCGGTAGAGCAGAGAAAGGTGCGGGAAAGGAAAGGTGACACGGGAAGGGAGGGGAGAGAAAGAAAGATGGCATTTGCGCAAACCGCTGTAATTAAATGCAAATACTGCGTGCACCCGACGAAATTAATATTTGACGTCGATGTCGTGCAACCTGACCCAGGCGCTTCGTTTCTCCTTCGAGGAATCGAGGACTCGACGATTACAATTTGCCCAGTAATGAGCGGCAAGTCAGACGCGCGCAATCGTCGACAAAATGAATAGACTAAAAACCTATAACCTGATGGCGAATTAACAAAGAACAAAGAAATCTCTCTTTCTCTCTCTCTCTCTCTCTCTCTCTCTCTCTCTTTCCTTGGAACGGCAAATTAGTTCATTATCGATAAGAAAATAAAAACTCATCGGTATTAAAGATAAAATTAGTTATAAATCTTCGAGAATTGGAGTTAATTCGAAATTAAGATTGGAGCTTGATTAAATTATATTGATTTAAGAATAATCATTTAGATTTTATTAAATTATCCATTTAACAATGTATTTAACAATGCAGTTTTGCAAGCGATCGAGCGAGTTTCTCTTTTCAATTCTTTCGGTAGAATGAAATACAGACATTTAACAAAATATCATTATACCGTTTACAGTCGAAAATTATGTACTGATAGTATATTATATACTTAATATTTATATAATTATATATTGACAGTTGAAAATCTGGAACTTGTGACTCACTAATTTCTATGTAAGTACGTCCCTGTCGCTTAATTTCTATCCCGCGACCCGTTCCGCGCTATCGTGACAGGATTATCTCTTAGATAATAACGTCGATGAAGCTCACCAACAACCGACCGCGATAAATGCTTTTATGTTTCAACACACGTACCCGAGAGATTTACTACGATTAAATAAAAGTCGACTGACACAACGGATTCTCGCTTTCATAGTTTTTTTTCTCTTTCTCTTTATTATATCATGAGAAAATAATTGCGCAAAAGAAAATCTAAAGAGATTTAAATTTCATATTCTGTAATCATTGAAAAATATTGAGATCCCTTGTACCCCTCATTAGAGGATAGAGATGTTGGACAAAATAATTAGCTTTCAAGAAAGCAGATTTTAGTTTGAATCTCGGCTAAAATTTTCTTTTTAGCCGAGAGTCGAACCATAATTCACTGTCCTCGCGCTCTCTCGAATAAAATTCGAAATATCGTTTTGCTAGAGAGGAACGTACCATCGTGACGTTGGCAGACAAATTGAAGATTTTCTAATTTTTTATTTCTATAATTTGGAAATCATTTAGGGAAGTTTAGGAACATAGTCTCATAGTTTGGGAAATAATAGTTTATTAGTAATTAATAAAAATTAATTAAGCATTAAGTTAGCAGACATAATAAAAGAAAAATGTTTTTTAATTTTTAATTAACGTAAAATTATTTGGGAAATACGTCTGTAATGTTTTTAACGTTTGGGAAATAATAAATTTTTATAATAATTGAAAACAAAGATTACATGTGGTACATTTCCGAAGATGGATGGAAATGCACCAATTAGAACGCAGTATTTTCATCCAGCAAGCAATCCAGCACACAAACAATCACCGTGTGCCGCTGGCTTAACGTTTAGCCAAATATTTAATTTCCTAGCCAAGAATGCTTATCTTCACCCCAAAAAGAAAGTCTTTTCTAACGTTAAATATTTAAGCTGTGCACATAAAAATGGATTCATTGTTTTGTATATTTCGACTGGTTATATTTTATGCTTATCAACAGATTTGGCTAGTTGATTTTTAATTCACGATAACATCAAATGTAATGTTTATGTTCACAAATTTAACAAATTTTACATGTATAGGATACAAATGTTGATATATTTGGTAAGAAAGTGTCACTGCAACACTATATATTTTTCCAGGCGTTTAGAATGGTGCTTGTTTGTGTGCTGGATTGCTTGCTGGATGAAAATACTGCGTTCTGATTGGTGCATTTCCATCCATCTTCGGAAATGTACCACATGTAATCTTTGTTTTCAATTATTATAAAAACTTATTATTTCCCAACCGTTAAGAACATTACAGACGTGTTTCCCAAATAATTTTACGTTAATTAAAAATTAAAAAATATTTTTCTTTTATTATGTCTGCTAACTTAATGCTTAATTAATTTTTATTAATTACTAACAAACTATTATTTCCCAAACTATGAGACTATGTTTCTAAACTTCCCTAAATGATTTCCAAATGATACAAAAAAAGAATTAGAAAATCTTCAATTTGTCTGCTAACTTCACGACGGTGAGGAACGTGAGAGCAGCCAACACGACGTTTTCGACATAGACATAGTATATCTAGACTGCGTGTTTGAGGAGTGGGTGTATAGCTCACGTAGAAAAGGATATACTCTGTTTTTACTCGCACAATCCCGATGGAAAGGGTACAGAGGAGGCAGTTGCTGTACAGTACTGTACAGTAACCACTGCTCCTATTGCCCTTCCATCGGGGCTGTGCGAGAGAGAATGAACAGTAAAAACCAGAGAGGAACGTGAAAGCGGACAACACGGCGTTTTCGGCGACACCGACTTTCCGCAATGGGAAAGTGCGCCATCTGCATCCATTTTGAGAAGGGAACTACGATGCTACATCCATCTTCAGGTTTCGGCGGTAAAACCTTCATGTAGTGACAGTCTGTGCTACATCCATTCTCAGGCGGTTTCTGTCCATGCTACAACCATAATAGCGTACTTGACAAGCGCGGTCTCGCATATGGTTACGCGTTTATAACATCGATTAACATGTTAACATGTGCAAAAAAAAGAATTAACATTGTGTATGGTTAATATCATGAAGATCATACGAAGTGTTCGGTAATTAGCTGCCAACGCGAAGTGTGAGGGTAGATTGGGTTGAGACAAACATAAAAGTCCCATACCGTTTTTAGGAGACAAAGGCACGTTCCTGTATCTTGAACCGTATAGGAGATATCCAAGGTTAAATTTTTAAATTGTACCGTTAATATCTCCGCTTCTACTGGGAATTAAGAGTCGAGTTTTATGGTCAGAATAGGGTTGATACAGGAATATATTTTGGCAGAAAAACAGGCCTGTATCTCGAGCCGTTTAGGAGATATCGAAGTTTAAAGTTTCCCAACTTGTACCGCTGATATCTCCACTTCTACTGGGAATTGAGAGTCGAAATCTATGGTGGAAATAAGGTTGATATAGGATTATATTTTGGCAAAAAAAACAGGCCTGTATCTCGAGCCGTTTAGGAGATATCGAAGGTTAAAGTTTTCCAACTTGTACCGTTGATATCAACGCTTCTACTGGGAATTGAGAGTCGAAATTTATGGTGAGAATGGGGTTGATACAGGACTATATTGTTGCAAAAAAACAGTCCTCTATCTCAAGCCGTTTAGGAGATATCGAAGGTTAAAGTTTTCCAACTTGTACCGTTGATATCAACGCTTCTACTGGGAATTGAGAGTCGAAATTTATGGTGAGAATAGGGTTGATACAGGACTATATTGTGGCAAAAAAGCAGGGCTGTATCTCGAGCTGTTCGGGAGATATCGAAGGTTAAAGTTTTCCAACTTGTACCG